CACAGAGCCCCAGGACAGCAACACAATTAGACCTAACCAAATCATGAGAAAACAAAAATAGAATTACTTGACACATTGGAAAGAATCAAGAACAAAACAGAGCAAACTAGAATGCTATTTGGCTCTAAACAGAGAGTACACAGTGGCAGAATACCTGACCAATGTGACTGACCCAAATTTAAGGAAAGCTTTGACTATGTACAGACTCAGCGAGCATAGCCTTGCTATTGAGAAAGGCCGCCGTAGGCAGACCTGGTTCTCAAGAGAAGACAAGCTATGTGCACACTGCCCACAAAATGAGGTGGAAACTGAGCTGCACTTCCTAACCTCCTGCCAAATGTATGACCATATTAGAGACACATATTTCCCTCAGATTACACAGACCCACAAAGAATTCGAAAACAAACCCAATTTTGATAAACTCCCATATTGTCACGCCCTGGCTCTGGGGACTCTCGTATGTTGAGCCAGGGTGTTTATTTTGTTTAGGTTCTAGTCGTTGTCTATCTATGTTGGCCTGAGTGACTCCCAATCAGAGGCAACGAGTGTCAGCTGGTTGTCTCTGATTGGGAGCCATATTTAACTGTCTGTCTTTCACTTTGTGTTGGTGGTTTCTTGTTCGTGTTGGTTTGTGTTGTAACCATAGACGTCACGTTTTTCGTTTGTTGTTTTGATCGTGTGATCATTAAATAAATAATAATATGTTCACCTTCAACGCTGCGCATTGGTCCTCCTCATTAGACGATCGTGACAGAAGAAACCACCAAAACCAGACCAAGCAGCGTGTCCAGGAGCCATCGCTAGCAGATCTCCGTGGCAACCTCGACTGGGTCAAGCCTAGTGAGGAGCAGAGAGGGTGGACTTGGGACCAGTTGAGGAAGAGCTTCGACTGGGTCAAGCCCATTGAGGAGCTGAATGGCGGGAGTTGGAGACAGAGGAGCGAGAGTTGGGCGAGAACGATGGAGGCCTGGCCCACGGGGAGGAGAGACCCCCAGAAATTTTTTAGGGGGGGGCTCACGACGTCGGGGCAGCAGGAGGCCGCGATAGAGCGGTCCAGCGGGTTGGCAGAGGAGGCCGCCAGGTTACGGGAGTCACTGGTCACCAGGGGGAAGGAGGTTGTAGAGGCACGGCGAGAGGTACTGGCGTGTGTTGCCAGTCCGGTCCGGCCTGTTCCTGATCCCCACGTAGGGCCAGTGGTGTGTGTTCCCAGTACGGTCCGGCCTGTTCCTGCCACTCCCACCAAGTCAGTGGTGCGCGTCGTCAGCCCGGTCCGGCCCATGCCTGCTCCCCGCACCAAGTCAGGGGTGCGCTTCGTCAGCCCGGTCCGGCCCATTCCTGCTCCCCGCACCAAGTCAGGGGTGCGCTTCGTCAGCCCGGTCCGGCCCATTCCTGCTCCCCGCACCAAGGCAGTGGTGCGCGTCGTCAGCCCGGTCCGGCCCATTCCTGCTCCCCGCACCAAGTCAGGGGTGCGTTTCGTCAGCCCGGTCCGGCCCATTCCTGCTCCCCGCACCAAGTCAGGGGTGCGCTTCGTCAGCCCGGTCCGGCCCATTCCTGCTCCCGGCACCAAGGCAGTGGTGCGCTTCGTCAGCCCGGCTCGGCACGTTCCTGCTCCCCGCACCAAGTCAGTGGTGTGCTTCGTCAGCCCAGTACGGCCTGTCCCTGCTCCACGCACCAAGCCTACGGTGTGCGTCGTCAGCCTGGTAAGGCCCGTTCCTCCTCCACGCACCAAGCCAGGGGTGCGCGTCGTCAGTCCAGCACAACCCGTGCCTGGGTCATGTCCGGAGCCGGATCCGCCGCCGAGGCGGAGTGCCCACCCAGTCCCTCCCCTGTTGTGGTTGGTTGGCGCGGTCGGAGTCCGCGCCTTTGGGGGGGGGTACTGTCACGCCCTGGCTCTGGGGACTCTCGTATGTTGAGCCAGGGTGTTTATTTTGTTTAGGTTCTAGTCGTTGTCTATCTATGTTGGCCTGAGTGACTCCCAATCAGAGGCAACGAGTGTCAGCTGGTTGTCTCTGATTGGGAGCCATATTTAACTGTCTGTCTTTCACTTTGTGTTGGTGGTTTCTTGTTCGTGTTGGTTTGTGTTGTAACCATAGACGTCACGTTTTTCGTTTGTTGTTTTGATCGTGTGATCATTAAATAAATAATAATATGTTCACCTTCAACGCTGCGCATTGGTCCTCCTCATTAGACGATCGTGACACCTATCTAATGGGTGAAATACCACAGTGTGCCATCACAGCAGCAAGATTTGTGACCTGTTGCCACAAGAAAAGGGCAACCAGTGAAGAACAAACACCATTGTAAATACAACCCATATTTATGTTTATTTTTTCCCTTTTGTACTTTAACTATTTGCACATCATTATAACACTGTATATTGACATCCTATGACATCTGAAATGTCTTTATTATTTAGGAACTTTTGTGAGTGTAATGTTTACTGTTCATTTTTTTAGATTGTTTATTTCACTTTGGTTTATTATCTATCTTCACTTGCTTTGGCAATGTAAACATATGTTTCCCATGCCAATAAAGCCCTTAAATTTAAATTGAATTGAGAGAGAGACTGTATATAGCCATAATATATCCTTTGAAATGTCTCATTTCCTAATATTTAATGTTCATTTTTTATTCTTTATTTATCTTTTATTTATTATCTATTTCACTTGCTTTGGCAATGTAAACATATGTTTCTCATGCCAATAAAGCCCTTTGAAATGAATTGAGAGAGAGAGAAAGAGAGAGAGAAGGAGAGAGAGAGAGGAAATGCAGTACGCCTCAGAAAAATCACCAAACATGATGTTCTATTCACCGTTACACAAGGATTCCTATTAACTGGCTGGGTCTGACACAAACCCACTCAGAGAGGTGAGAGGCTCCTCACGGCCAAGGTTCCTGTCCTTGGTGAGAGACTGGGAGTCTTTTCATTAAACAAAGCTCTCTTTGTTTTTCCAGTGGGCATATCCAGAGGGAGTAGAGCGGGAGAGAAAGGTTGTAGAGAGAGGAAGCGAGAGAGGGAGGGAGAGCAAGAGAGGGAGAGAGAGAGAGAGAGAGAGAGAGAGAGAGAGAGAGAAAGAGAGAGGAAGGAGAGAGGGGGCGAGAGAGAGAGAGAGGGAGAGCGAGAGAGAGAGAGAGAGAGGGAGAGCGAGAGAGAGAGAGCGAGGGAGAGAGAGTGAGAGAGAGGGGGAGATAGAGAACAGAGTGAGTGAGTTACCTTGAGCTCCTTACTCTGTCTTTGATGTTTCTAATAGCTGATGTTTGAATTCTGCAGCTTGTACAGGGTTGACCTCAGACGAGACTGGTGGGAGGATCTATGGGAGGACGGGTTCACACTAATGGCTGGAATTGGCTTAATGGAACAGAGTCAAACACGATGTTGCCATGTGTTTGGTACCATTCCATTTATTCCATTCCAGCCATTACAATGAGCCCATCCTCCTATAGCTCCTCCCACCAGCCTCCTCTGGTTGACCTGGTGATCTCCTTCTCGCTCTCTCTCTCTCTCTCTCTCTGCCTGTTCTGTCTCCCACACTGCTGCTTTGCACAGTACTTGTAACTGTGCTTCTACATTCATCTTTAACCTAAGATTTGTTTACGCACAGATGTCTGGATCAGTGTATGAAGCTGAAGTAGAATCCCGCTGTGCTCTTTATTAAATATCATTTCTGTACTTGCATCTGAACATGTGTCACATATTTTACTAGGGCTTCATAATGTGGAAGAAAGCAGTGCTGGCAGAGAAATTAGAGAAATGTGTGAGTAAGTGTATGTCCTTTTATGGTTTGTATGTAATGTGAATGCAAGGTGAGTTTACACTGTATGTATGTTTGTGTGTGTGTGTGTGTGTGTGTGTGTGTGTGCATGTGTGTCAGTGAGGGCAGGGGCTTGTCTCTGCACATAGGGAGATTAATCTTATTCATCGAGCATAAAAGATGAAGCACAGTGTATAAAATTCGAATATATAGCCGAGCAGTTCTCCTTGTCACCTTCAGCATATGTCTTGACTGAGTGATGTGGGGGACAGAGGGCTAATAATCTACAGAAGCTTCATGATTAACTGCCTGCAACGCAGACACACACACATGCAGGCACAAGCACGCACACACACTCACACGTGCACAGATGGTGAGACGGTGGGGTAAGCCAGATCTCAGTGGGGATGCTGGCGATAGTAAAAGGTTGGTACTTCTTGGCTGGGCCACAGTTGGCTAGAGGGACGGCCCATTGTCACAGACCAGCACTATCAAGAAGGGATTCACCTCAAAGAAACAGCATGGATGAAAGTCAACAACAACCAACAAACAGTCAACAACCACTTCTTCAACAAAGATAATCTACAGAACCAGGACAATTCAAGTTTAAAGGATACTGTAGAGTTACTACTTCTGATAGGTTCACACACAGTCCCAAATATTGATACCAAACTGCATTCACACAGACAGACAGACAGACAGACAGTTCTATCTCACATAGGGAGAGATCCCCCTGAGGCTTGGCCTTGTACGAGGCCTCTGAGAGGAGGAAGAGTAGAGATAGCCTGTAGGGAGCACAGGGGTAGTGTGTCAGACAGCACACTGATAAACCACTGGTCTGATCTACAGGATGTGACCGGCACTGTGGCTCCAGCTCAGCCTCTGATTAAATGCATGTATCAAACCTCTCTTTACCTCTCTTTCTGCACATTACTTTCTTAATCAATAGGCTGCAGTTCAACTTGTCTTCAATGTGACCAATGGAACCAATACACGCACGCACGCACACACACACACAGGGGGAACAAACCCACAGTAGCCTACACACCAAGACGGATGACAACACACAGGCACACACACAAACACAGTCCCATTCCCCCTCTCTCTCCTCAGGCCATCTGAATTGCACTGCGACAGAGGACATCAATCTCCTAGCTGGCCGTGAGTTGCTCAGAAAGTCTGAGATGAGGATGGATATGATTTTGGTATCAATCACACTTTGTTCTTTGTCGGTGTCGCCACAGTGTCTTAATCGTCTATGTGTTTCTCTCCCCCCGTCTCGATCGATACCCTGCTTCAACAACACACAGAGAAGGACATCCATCAGCCACACAGTTTCAATGTCTCCAGCCTGGCCAATCTGTATACTAGAGATACACAAACACTCTCTCTCACAAGCACACACATCCTCAATTCTCCTCTATTCTCTCTGCTCCTCTCTCTCTCAGTGGTGACCTGATTTGTTACCTGTGATAAGTTGCCACAGAGTGTGACGCTCTCATTCCACAGCAGCCAGCTAGAGACCATGTCTGATGAACACATGCTTTGTACGTGTCTGATGAGAGGCATATTTCCTATGTGTCTAACAACCAGGCAGAGACCTAATGACTAAAGATTATTCAGAGCTGTACAGTATGTAATGAAATGTGTTAGCACTGGCGGGAGGCCGCATGCCATGCAGTGCACTGAGCCCTAGCCAGCCTAATGCATTCATGTCATCCAGTGCACAAGGACACTACCCAGTCGGAACAGGCCACCTGCTCTTGATGGATAAGGGTCCTTAATCTCTATGACATGGGCAGAATTTATGGACAGCACAGGATAATGGGGTCCTGTGGCAGTGTAGCACTGTGCATGGGGGACAGATTTGAATTGAAGATTTCAAGGTTCCTCCATCTCCATCTGTCTGTCTGCTCCACATTCACTTTCCTTCCCACTCCTCCTCTCCCAGTTCATGTGAGACTATTTGCAAATAAGTACCCCTCAGTGTGGAAGGCCTAATGTGTGTTAATCCTATAGCCTAGAGGTTAAGCGCATTGCGCCAGCAACTGAAAGGTCTCTGGTTCGAACCCCTGAGCCGACTAAATTAAAAATGTGTTGATGTGCCATTGCTCCTGTAATTATTTTGGGATAAGAGTGTCTGCTAAATGACTCAAATGTAAATGTCCTAGTTACAGGTAGGGCTAGGAATTGCCAGGGACCTTATGATACTTATGTGCAAAGGAGATTTGATGTTCTGAGTGTACAAAACATTAGGAACACCTGCTCTTTCCATGACATAGACTAACCAGGTGAAAGCTATGATCCCTTATTGATGTCACCTGTTAAATCCACTTTAATAAGTGTAGATGAAGGGGAGGAGAAAGGTTAAAGAAGGATTTTTAAGCCTTGAGACATGGATTGTGTATGTGTGCCATTCAGAGGGTGAATGGGCAAGACAAAATATTTAAATGCCTTTGACTGGGGTATGGTAGTACGTGCCAGCTAACGCTACCTAGAGTAGCAATTTTTTATTTACAAATTGATACTTGGAGACAAATATCAATAAAATATCATCCCAAAATATACTGAACCCAATTATAAATGCAACATGTAAAGTGTTAGTCCCATGTTTCATGAGCCCAGGACCTAGAGGCATGGAGAGACAGCCTTTAGTTATTATGCCCCCAGCCTCTGGAATAGCCTGCCAGAGAACCTGAGGGGGGACAAAACTGTTTAATGTAAATTTCTCTACCATAAGCCACTTCCAACGTCGTTTTAGAGAATTTGGCAGTACGTCCAACCGGCCTCACAACCGCAGACCATGTGTAACCACGCCAGCCCAGGACCTCCACATCCGGCTTCTTCACTTGTGGGATCGTCTGAGGGGGGAGGGGGGTGCTGAGGCCCTTTTGTGGGGAGAAACTCATTCTGATTGGCTGGGCATGGCTCCCCAGGGGATGGGCCTGGCTCCCCAGTGGGTGGGTCTATCTATGCCCTTCCAGGCCCACCCATGACTGCGCCCTTGCCCAGTCATGTGAAATCCATAGATCAGGGACCAATGCATTTATTTAAATTGACTGATTTCCTTATATATAACTCAGTAAAATCTTTGAAATTGTTGCATGTTGCGTTTAAATTTTTGTTCAGTATAATATTATGATATGTAAAAAAAGATCCCCATCACAAGTTACAGTGTCCTCAGGTGGAAAAGCCCCAGATGCATGACCCCAGAAGTGTATACTGCAGTAAAGGAATCCCAAGGGCACAGGTATTACACAGGTATTCATGTAAGACACCAACAGTGTGGTGTCATACTTGAGTAAAAGTAAAGTTACCTAAATAGAAAATGACTCAAGTAAAAGTGAAAGTCACCCAGTAAAATACTACTTGAGTAAAAGTCTAAAGGTCTTTGGTTTTAAATATACTTAAGTATCAAAAGTAAATGTAATTGCTAAAATCTACTTACGTATCAAAAGTAAAGTAAAAGTATAAATAATTTCACATTCCTTATATAAGGAAACCAGATGGCACAATTTTATTTATTTTTTTATTTTATTTACGGATAGCCAGGGGCACCGTCACACACTCAGACATCATTTACAAACAAAGTATTTGTGTTTAGTGAGTCCACCAGATCAGAGGCAGTAGGGATGACCAAGGATGTTCTCTTGATAAGTGTGTGAATTGGACCATTTTCCTGTTCTTTTCTTTAGGAATGTAGTGGAGTTAAAGTAAAAGTTGTCCCAAAAATAAAAAGTTAAGTACAGATACCCCCAAAATCTACTTAAGTAGTACTTTAAAGTATTTTTACTTTAGTACTTTACACCACTGCACACCACATAAAATGCAGCTGACTAAACTCCACTCCATTGTGAAGGAAGTTTCTGATGAACTCCACCAACGGAGTAGAGCTGAGACCAGGCTTTGTGGAATTCAACTCCGACTACATCGATTTGCCCAACGTCAATAATAATTATGAAACGCTTACCTTGTACCTATGTTTGTCCTTTCTTTGTTTGCTGAAATCCATACTTATTAAATAAATGTTAATACACTACAACCACCGACTGTTTGCTCATTGCTGTTGCTCTAAGATTGCAACTCAGCGCAAATGTGCATGTGCCAATTGAATCTCAACAAGGAAACAGTAAGTGGTTGTATTTGACTAATGTTTATTTCAGAAAACAAAGAAAAGACTCGCAACTAGAGGGCAAACATACTGTAGGTACAAGGTTAGCGTTTCATAATTTACATTCTTTGAGACAGTGGTGCACAGAGCGAGTTTCCTGCTCTCTGCTCTCACCTTATTCCTCTCAAACAGCTCAGTCTGGATGGTCTTGAGGTCAGTGTCCAGGGCACTGGCCGCCTGCCGGCGTTTACGGGCCAGCTGTTCTTCAAGGTCCTCCGTCTGCGCACGCAGCTTCTTGTTGTCCCTCTCTAGGGCCAGCTTCTCGGTCTCCAGACGCTCTCGCCGGCCCCACTCAGCAGCGTTCTCCACCTGCAGGCGCTCCATCTGAGGAGGAGTGGGAGGAGGGAGTGATGGTGGAGAGGAGGGAAAACAATGTAAAATCAGAGGGAGAGGACGAGGTCAGAGGGAAAGTTGAAACAACCAATCGCTGTACCAGAGAGGAATATAGAGACGCCTCCCTGCAGTCAGTTAGTCAGTCAGAGCACCAGTGTCCAGGTCGTGACAGTAAAGCCCTTTGTAAATGCTCTACAAGTGAAGAGATGGACCATTAGCATTTTATCATACTCTCCTTTCCTTCAGCCCGGACTGCCAGCCACCACAGCAGAGCCATTAAACATGCACAGGGTGTATTCCCACAGCTGATATCTGAGCAGCACAGAGCAGAGAGGATGTTGCTGCTGGGACAATAAGGAAGAACAGAGGAGAGGGAGAGAAAAGAGAGGAGAGGCGTGAGGCACGTGGGGCTGACAGCGGGCTGGCGTCGGGCCCCCAGGGGCCGCTGGGACAATGTGACACGCTCCTCTGAGGGGGGACAGGACATGGGAGGAGGGCTCTCTAAAGAACACTTCAAAGGAGAGGACTCATTCCGCTCCACCATGAGCCACAGGCGTGAAATATACTCTCCAAAAATGACAACTTAGTACGTCAGTGACACACTGCCCACCCAGCCAGCTCCCAATGCCACCATGTCGACTAGTGGGTAACATGGAGTCAGAGACGAGAGTAAACTTGATTGAGTTTAATTGATGTTGAATGGGCTGAATTACTCCCATTAAGTGTAAAGATCTATAAAGCTATGTAAGTCCAGTCCATTACAACCCATTATAGATGGTTAAAAGCCCACTGGCTGTGTGTTTAAGCCTCACCTCTGCACGTAGCTCGGCCAGTTTCTTATCCATACTGGTGCGTGCTCCCAGCTCATCCTCCAGGTCCTCCGACATACGACCCAACTCATCCTGGTGTACCTCCTTCAACATGTTCAGCTGAGAGAGAGCGAGAGAGAGAGAGAGAGAGAGAGAGAGAGAGAGAGAGAGAGAGAGAGAGAGAGAAGATAAGCGAGAGAGAGAGAGAGAGAAGAGAGAGAGAGCGAGAGAGCGCGATAGATAGATAGATAGATAGTATGAATAGATAGATAGATATACACAGACAGACAGACAGACAGATAGAGAAAGAGAGAGAGAGAGAGAGAGACAGATAGACAGAATAGAGGAGAGAAAAAGAGATAGAGAAAGATAGGAAATATAAATAATATATAGATATCTAGATATAGATAGAAATAAGAGATCTACCTCTCGATCTCTCTCTCGCTCTCTATCGCTCTCTCTCTCTCTCTCTCTCTACTCTCGTCCCCTCGTTCTCAATCTCTCTCTCTTCTTCCTTCTCTCTCTCTCTCTCTCTCTCCTTCCTCTCCCTCCCTCTCTCTCTCTCTCTCTTCCTCTCTTCTCTCTCTTCCTCTCCTTCTCTCTCTCTTCTCTCTCTCTCTCCCCCCCTCCTCTCGCATCTCTCTTCTCTTCTCTCTCTGCTCTCTCTCCTCTCCTCTCTCTTCTCCCTCCCCCCCCCCCTCCTCTCTTCTCCTCTCTCTCTCCTCTCTCTCTCCTCTCGCTCTCCTTTCTCTCCATTGATCCGCCAGCCACGCAGAACTACTACAGGTGTTAAGCTCCTTGGTAAGACTAGACTATGGGCATCCGTGGTCTTAGTGTTAGTTCCCTCTCCTCCTATAAACTGAGCCACCTTCAAGGATGATACATTCCCATACAACATAATGTTCTCACTCAGCTCTGCAGGCTACAGTGGTTTCTCCATTTAACATCTGAAATCCCACTGTGGTCCAGGTACATATTACACACATGCCACATCTCAACCTTCTCCTCTCCTCTCTGCCCTTCATGATATCCGTAGAGATATCACTGACTACCCTGCCAGTCCATTCATGGTTTTCCAATGACATCGACACACACACGCACAGCTTATCTGCTCTGAGCACAGAGTGCCTCCTAGTGGCTTTCTCCTGTAAACACATACATTTACATTTTGGTCATTTAGCAGATGCTCTTATCCAGAGTGACTTACAGTTAGTGAGTACATACATTTTTCATACTGGCCCCCCGTGGGAATCGAACCCACAACCCTGGCGTTGCAAGCACCATGCTCTACCAACTGAGCTACAGGAGGCCTAAAAATTTAGTCCTTTAATAGAGCAAATAGGCAATGGTGACTAAAAACAATATTACCATTCCACGGTTACCTGCGAAAAATGTCAAAGTTGGGGGGAAAAAACAAAAAGGTGCCGCTCTGCAATTCATTTTTTTTCAACGCATACAGATTTGCTTTCTTTTAGTGACATGTCAAGTGCCTCATCTACAGGGGCTACAGTCCAAAAAGGTAAGTTCAGTTTGGCAAAAAAGGGGTGAACTACGAGAGTGAACTATCTGCAGGAGATGGCCGTTTCCTTTTTCGGACTCTGATGGCGAGCAACACAGAAAACGTGAATTTCTTTTCTTTATTTTTTTTGTTACCATTATTCTTCTCTCAAAAAGGACATTAAAGTTAATAAATAAAGAGGACATTGAAGAGTCTGCTTAGAAGAGTGTCCCAAACTATTGTGTCTATGTATATATTTATATATCTCTATATGTGGTGTTTAATAATAATAATAATAATAATAATAATAATAATAGTGTCCGGTTCTGAAAGTTGGTGTCCGGTTCTGGGAGTTGGTACAGTATGCCTGCCCTTCAGTTTGGCGCCGATCTGGGGGTTCGTGATAGAAGGCTAAGAGGTGGGCCAAGGGAGGAGGCAGGGGGTTGTGTCTTTCAGAAGCAGGCTTCGTGAAGGTTAAATGGAGGTTTAAGGTCCGTTGCTATGCCTTGCCCTCTTCCACTTTGATGGCCTGGGGTTTGATGGCTCCGGTGCATGGTGCTGGTTTGCCCTGCCAGCCAGGAAGGAACTCCTGGAGGTTTCTGGTCATCAGGCCCCCCGACAGTGCCTTCTCCCCTCACCCACCAGCTGACGCCTATCCCGCAGGGCTGTATTTAGAGTGGGTGGCTCACCTTCATGCCATCCTCCGGCCCCTTGACCCTCTCTCTGAGCCGGCGGCCCTGGCTCTTTGAAGCTGCTGTCTCAGCAGGTGTGTCTGTGTGAGGTGGATGTGTGCCAGTCTGCCAGGCTGTATTGATGTAGGTACGGGGGGTATGGCCATATTCCCATGGCCAATATGATGACAACACTTCTAAAACCACCAGGATGAAAGGGCTGACGTTTGATGCATTTACCCCGTTTGATGCGTGGCCTCAGAGGGCACGTATATGTCCCCTGGACGGGTGTTGGGGGATTAGAACGTAAAGGTGACCCTCAATCTCACCTGTTTCATGGCTTCCTGCTTGGTCTTGTTCTGCTCCTCATATTTGAGTTTCCATTGGTTTAGCTCTGTTTCCAGCTTTTCTATGCTCTTACTGAGTGCATGCTTATCCCTGGGGAGAGAAGATAGTTGGTTAAATACTACTCTAACAACATAGGTAATGACTATTCAACAGAGATAGATCACAAGCCTGCAGAGAACAATCTAAAGCATACACAATATTAGTTCTGAATATTTAATACAGGAAAATAGCTACGCCTATTGAATATGTTTTTGAAGGAAGAGACTTGACAGAACCTGTGTCCCCAAAATACTATGTAACCATGATGCCATCAAAACCGAGTTGGATAGATGTTATGGTTAACTAAAAGTGACAGCTGACTTCGATATTCTGGGCGAATATCTTCTGAGGTCAGCAGGGTGCCTATGGCACTGACAGAATGAATGTTCCAGAATGTTGCAGAATAGCCCAACAGAAACCAGTCTTATAGACAGATGGGCTCTGCCAGATTGTTGGACCTGAAGATGCAGACAAATCACCAGCGAAATCAGCAGCCTCCAGAGAGCTCATAAAACAGTTATGATTCTAATGGAAAAGATAATGGGGCTGATGGTAGTGTTGGCGGGAGTGGGAAGCTGCAGCAGTGCCAGAGCTGAGCTCAGGCCAAAACAGGAGGCTCTGCTTGTAAATTATAAGACTGGCATCCCGGCCAGGGTGGAACAGAGAGAGACAGAGCAGTTACTAGTCTACACTTTCCATACACTCAACATTAATGCTAATTTGATAATGAAATATGATGGATGGATGCATTGTGAAAGGTGTCTCGTATGGCTCCAATTCCATACAAGCCATAATATATCTGAGGAAAGCACCTTCACATAATTAAATATTCCTCAACCTCTCTAAATATTGCCCTCCTTCTCCCTCGATCCCCTCTCCTTACTCGCGTTCCTTGAGCAGGACCTTCTGTGATTCGTCGAGGCGGAGCTGGAGGGCGTTGATCTTGCCGGGGTCCTCCTCCATGGCAGTGATGTCATCCCAGAGCAGCCGGCTGCGGTCCTGGCGACTCAGGGCAGAACGCAGGCTGCTGGCACTACGGGCGTCCCACGAGTCTGGACCCTCCGCCTTGGACCTCAGCACTGACTCCAACAGCTCCAGCTCCTAGGAGAAGGGAGGGCAAAGAAAGGAAGAAAGGACAGAAAGAAAGAAGAAAGAAAACAGAAAGTAAAGAAAAAAGAAAAAAAAAGAAAAGAAGAACAGAATAAAGCAATAAGAAAAACGAAGAAAGAACTAAAAAAGACAAAAGAAGACGAAACGCACAGACAGAACAGAACTCAACCCGAACGAAAGAAGGAGATCCCTCAACGAACGAAAGACTCATTTCATTCACTGTTAGTTATACACCTGTTGTTTACGAAGCATGTGACAAATAACATTTGATTTGATTAGATGAACCATGTAGTGGAGTCACCCCACTCTGAAACCCTGTGTCACACCCTGGCTCTGGGGACTCTATATGTTGAGCCGGGGTGTGTAGATTCTATGTGTTCTAGTTCTGTGTTGTAGTTCTATGTGTTCTATTTCTATGTTGGCCAGTGTGGTTCTCAATCAGAGGCAACGAGTGTCAGCTGTGGCTGGTTGTCTCTGATTGGGAACCACATTTAAACAGGCTGTTTTCCCACAGTAGTTGTGGGATCTTGTTCCTTTTGGTTTGTTCCGTGTTGGTTGTGTTAAACCTAGGACGTCACGTGTCGTTATTGTTTGTTGTTTTGTTATTATTATCACTAAAGATAATAAAATATGTTTGCTCATCACGCTGCGCCTTGGTCTACTCCGTTCAACGATCGTGACACCCTGACGTCAGCCATCACAGCTCCACTCCAAGAGAGAAGGCTGGAGAGCGAAGCAGACTCCTAGACTCAAATATTAACTTTTCTTAATTAAACCCCACCAGGGAGACAGGTTTTTCCCTAACTCAACAGCGCCGGTACAGCAGCTATCATATTACCCCCTATCCCCATTTCCTGTCTGTAAAAAATACATTCCCAGGACGTTTGACGGAGTAATCAAAAACTGCCTTTTTTTTTTAAACAACACATATTTGTTATTCTCGTCCTTCTCTTCCTCACAGCTAGGATTAAGTATCAAAGGGTTGTCTCTGGGAGTCACGCAGGGCTCCGGATGCCAACTTCCTGTTACTGAGAGAGCTGAGCACTAGAGCACAACCAACAGATGGGAGGAAAAACACAGGCTGTTCCCAGCGGTGGCCAGCAGGGGGACCTAGAGGTTAATGTATGAGGTGGAGGTGGGTGGGATAGCGCTGCTCCTCTCACCCAGCCCGCCACATGTGGAAGCACTCAGCGTGTCTGTGTAAGACTGAGGGAGAGAACAATGGAGGGGCAGGAAATGGGATTGTATGTGAGCAGCCCCACAATGCCCAGCTCAGCTCCATGCTGCTGTTTATCCAACAGTGATTTATTATCAATGGCCAGCTGCTTGCCTAGGAAGAGCTCTGTGTGTGTGTTGGCCCATGGTGAGCCACTGAGGAAGAATCTCACTGGACATTCTCCTCCAGGTTGTGATGTATGTCTTCTCATTATTCACTTATTTCCTGTGTTCCCTTTGGCTACAGACTGGGAAACTGAGAAAGGTTATTGCCATTACCTTTCATGCCTGAAGTGGACCTCCTGTTCTGGATGAGTGTGAAAGTGTCTGTCAGAGTGTTTCCATGGAAACAGCAGCCCCCCCTGTGTGTGAGTTGGCTGAAGGTCAAGTCAGATTGCTAATGACACTGATCTGTATTCACTGCTGCTTGAGCTGCATACAGCTGAACACTCCTTGCCAAGATACACATTTCTTAAAAACAGAAACCTCATCTTGTCCAACTCTCAACAACGACTGGGCTCCAATGCTGCAGTACCCAGTCTGTGCCCCCTTGGTAGAAGATAGGGTTGTGCAGGGGGGATTCTATTTTAAGAACAAAAGCTACACTCCAGCAGAGCTCCCACTGAGGCACAATGCTCAGGTAGGAAGACCTCAATAAGGCACAGCTGGAGGTTATGCTCTGAGCCATATCTGCTGCTAGCTCTTCATTAGCAAGATGAAACGCTGGCCCAAATAAGTGACTGGTGCTCGATCTTCTACCAAGACCTCCGACCAACCTTTCCCCTGGCTCAGATCTGTGCAAACTATTCTCTGACTGTTCTGGGTTATAGAGTACTATATAGTCTCTTACTGATATTGTTTGGTTCTAGAGTGTGTGACCATTCTCCCACCTTTTGTCGGTCAGGTTTCTCGGTGTCTACATCTCTCACTGGTTCCTGTTCTGGTGACCCGGGCCCCTCGCCCACCCTGTCCTGATTGCTGTCCACAAGGGGCTGTGAGGAGGAGGAGGATGGGGTGGAGGAGGAGGGTGGTGCTGAGGGGGCGTGGGAGGGTGAGGCCTGGTCAGCACGGAGACGCAGTGCTTCCTGTCTGAGTGTCTCGTTCTCGGAGGCCAGTTCCTGGCGCTCTCGCCGTGCGCCTGTTAGCTCCTTGGTCAGGGCGTCCAGCCTCTGGCGGAGCTGCCGCACCTCGTCCCGTGCCCGGTTCCTCTCGGAACGCACCTTGCTCCACTTCTCCCTCCAGTTGGCCGTGCAGTCCGACCACCAGCGCATGGTCTTCTCCATCTGGGCAGCTCGCGCCCTGGCCTCCTCCAGCTCCCTCAGACGCAGCTCCTCACGGCTCTCCCAGTCCCCAGACTCGCCCAGGCCAGGAGAGAGCAGCAGGGGAGGGCTGGAGCTGGGGGTGCCCCCCGTGGGGCTGGGCGTGTGGGTCAGGCTATCAGGAGAGCGGACCCTGTCCGGCCCCAGGCCCAGGCCACAGAGCAGGCCCGCCCCGGACTTAGCGGCCTCGGCCATGTGGGGGCTAGGGGTGTGGTTCATCACAGAGCCGATGATGATCCAGGGAGAAGCAGGAAACACAAGCGATGCTGTGCACTCAGGAGTGCATGGTCGTCTTTACTCAGTTGGCTACCTGCAGATTCAAACACAAATCAGAGACACTGGTTAGTTGGACAGTCCAGTACAATTTCCTTTGACAGTGGGTCTTAATTCTTTACATGCTCTAGTCTACTCCTATCCTATGATCATTAACCACAACTGCCACAGCAAAACATTCTGGTCGATAAATGAGTAACATAAAGTCCAGTGTCCCTGTGAAGTTCAGAAATATGTTCTCCTGCTAGGTGTGATCTGGGGCCAATCTGAGTAGGTGAGATACAATGGACCATCCTCTTCATACTGTTCTGGTGCCAGTTACAGGAGGTTACAGATGAATGGTCACACGTTAGAGATTATCTAGAGCCAGTACAGCTTGAAGAAAATTGCAATGGTAATTTGCAAACAGCCAATGATGAGAAACGAAGCTTCAACTAGCACCATGGCAACCCAGTAAACCCATTGACCTCAAGCGTGTCCAGACTCCGGCTTAACACCATGGCAACTTGCAGTCCCAAGACACCGATGAATTGGTTACCATAAAGGAAAGTATGCAGAAAGACAGAATGAAAATACTCTACAGACAGGTCATCACTGGTGTACCACACACCCCCACAGTCCCCGCAAGGCGGGGCCCCCCCAGATAGCATTTGAACAGGTCATAAGCCATGGCAAAAATGTTTAGAATTACAGGAAAATAGCTGTAAAACTGCAAAATTGTCTCTCAGCCTCATGGCAAAATGTGTAGAATAGCAGGAAATGTGCTATAAAAAAGTTACATTCTCAGCCTAATTGCAAAATGTGTAGAATAGCATGAGAATAGCTATAGAACTGCACATTTTTGCAGGGTCATGACCCCTGCCAAACACATAAAGAGGTAATTTGCATTTGCTGACAGTGAGGGTAGACATGACAGACAGAAAAAGAAGAGAGGGGGAGAGGATAGTGTAAAAGAGAGAGAGAGAGCGAAAAAGAGAGAGCGAGAGAGAGAGAGAGAGAAAGAGAGAGAGGGCTGAGATGAGACCGTTTGAGCTGGCTTCTTGTAAGGGCAGAAACTGAAATTCTGATCACTAATTTCCGATCCCTAGAGGCAGCGACAGCATGGTTTATCTATGTATGAGAGTGAGGCGACTGAAGAGTCTGATAGGGCAGGAAACTTTGGTGTAAAAGGATATGAATTCTCAAATCAACCCCCCCAAACAAACTCTCTGGAGTGTAAAACATGAGATGAGCCTGGAGTCTAGTGCAGAATCCCTCGCCTGATCACCATCAGAGCCTGTATCTGACAGGTTTACTGCAACTTAATCACACCAAGCCTATAACACAGCGTGTGTGAGGGAGACTCATTTAATGGATCAGTTGCATGGCTGAGCCATAATTATTTTCTCTGGCTTAAGGAAAGCTGTTCTATATGCTGATGAGAGAGACTAAATACAAAAATACACCCACCGTAGGCTACTAGTGTGTGGCACACCAAACGTACAAAGATGCAACTAGTGGAATAAACATAGCAATGATTCTGCAGTAATAGACCAACACATTAGTCCCAAACACTGAGCAGCAAACTCACCAGTTCCCTTGAGTAACACATTTATGAGGAACGCTCGTACACCATGCTTTCGCTCAAAGATCTTGTCTAAAATACCATCTCTGTCTCTGACTGTTCTCTGCTTGGTCTCCGTACTAGTGGATATCTTGAGGAATCTCAAACACAAAGGAGATGATATGAAAGACCGGGAGCAGTGCCGTCAGATATGTATTATGTATCTATGTAACACCTTCACTGCCTGCAGTCTCCTTGTGATGCATATTCTCCATTTCATGTTCATTAAGATTACGGGGGGGGGGGGACGATCTATAACATCTCACTATGCCATGCCATTTTAATGTCCCCTCCATATGAACTCCCTGCCTAGCCCCCCTAGTAGGCACCCACCTCTGTCAATAGCTCGCTCTGTCACTCCCCACCAGGGCTCATGCTAAAGCTCAGAGATGGTGATTTGAGTCAGCTGAGGCAGCCCAGTAGAGTAAGGAGATAACCTCCCACTTCTTTTCACCTGCACTGAACACTATCCCCTGAGAGTCTTGTCTCGTACTCTCTAAAAGGGAGGCAGAGACAGAGAGGGAGATGGTTTGGGCCCTGTCGCCTTTGTAGGACATCTCTGTCAGGGATATGTGACAACAAGCAACTGTCAGGGGGAGATCGCCTGTGAATGTTTCAGACAGGATGTCAGCCAATGAGCAACATACACAGAAACACACACACTGCTCCGTCTGGATCACAAACCATTTCTGTTGTCCCCTCGCATGGAAAGGGAACGCTTTTATGGAGAGAAAAAGTGAACATATATAGGTATGTGGAAAAAGAGGAGAACAGGTGAAGAGACTGACCCAGAAGATAAGGTGGAAAACGAGACACAACTCTTCTATCAGCTAACTGTGGATGTAATCTGAACTGAATCAAGTGAAGACACATAGGAACCGGGGCTAGTAATACAAGAGGGAGACCGAGAAAGCGAAAGAAAGAGAGTGAAAGCAGAGAGGGGCAGAGTGAGGGAGAGAGAAAGGAAAACAGGGGGATACATGGTTCTCGTTAAGTACGTAACCTGAACCTCATCAGACGCAGACAGGAAGGTAGAATGAGAGCAGGAACGAGAGAAGAATGAGAAAGTAAGAGAAGAAATGAAACTGAGAGACAAAAGAAGACCGCAGAAACCCAAAGACGTTGACTGGAAGAGATTGCATTTGGGTATAGAGGAGATAGGCTATAAGAAGGGAAATGTTTGGTCTGTGTCTGGCTGGGAGACAGAGGTTTTGAAGGCTGCAGCTGGACAAGACACCTGGGTGTTTTCGCTGTACATCCACAGTGGTTTAGACCTACATGGAGGGGACAGTACTGTATGGCTTCAATGAATCAATCAAGCACTAAGTTGCTCCTCGGGATCAGGATTGCAAAGAAAATGATCTAGAACTCCTACGTCTATTTTGCAACTGTCTACCATGTGTGTAAGAGGTTGAACAGTCTGCTAAAATACGTTTTTTCAAACAGACAGACAGACATTTCACTTACATGTGGTTACACGAAGGAAAAATTGCATACATTTCCATGAACCGCAGTTGACAAAACCACAGCTACAGTACTCTATCTGTAGACACAGCAGGCTTTTCCTGTCACCTCATTTCAGAGGCCAGGGGTGAAGAGTGTTTGTGTCACAGTGAAAATCACAGTGTGTATATGGGTGCTGAGATAAAGGGATAAGCTGTTGCGTCTCTCTACATAATGATCAAAGACCCATCTCAACAATATCGAAGCCAACTTGACAGACTAGCATTTGTCAACATGCCAATCAAAAGTTCAAGTTGTTCTTCGGACCAATCCATGACCTAGAAGGTCAGCTGCTGTTCTATCAATTATCTCATTGGTTTGAATGGACTATCTGTTGTCTCCCTCTTATGGCTCCAGGGGGTATTTGTTCACCTTCACTGATCTGAGTCTTGTAGGGAAACATCAAAGAGGTGAACAAGGTATTGGACCGGGAAGTGATCCTAATACTGAGTGACTACTGCAGACAGATACAATAAGCACAAACAAAACTCTTGTCAATGAACTCCAAGAGAAAAAAGTGGGGCAAATCAATGTGGCTCTGCAACGGGTGAGTGAAAGAATGAGTGCAAAAGGGAGCGAGTTTCAAAAAGACTCCAGACGGAGAGAAGAGATGGACAGAGACTGAAAACTAGAAAAGAAAGAACAAAGTAAAAGCTGGAGCTGAGTTTTTGCATTTCAATACAATCTGTTCCAAGACAGTGGTATCATGGGTCAGCGATCCCAAAATTAAATGCCTCTATAAATAAGACGATTTCTCTGGGGAACTTCCTTTGGAAACTGGTTCCAGCTGGAGGATCTAAGCTCATGTGGGATGTGTGGAATCCAGCCGATAGCTGCAGGATATTGAGAAATGAAACGCAGAAAGAGAGTAGAGTAGCCTTCACTGGAACCTACCACAGAGACGCACCACCACTCAAAGTAACAGAAACTAATATGAATAGATATGTTTTCTTATAAAGTGTGTTGCGATTTTAAATGCACTTTAAATAAAGTTTAATTAGATTTTTACTGTAAGACAACCATGACATTTATATGCAAATTCTATTCCATCTAGACTTGTGTCTATGTGGGGTAAAATGGTTAGGGAATACAAGGACACAGTGCTGTCACTACACACAGCCTAGTGTTGCTGTGAGAAAACAGTGTCATCAGAAATAGAGGAGAGACAGTGACAGAAATTGAGAACGAGATAGTTAGAACGGCCAGTGCTATTTAGAGGATGCAGGCAGAAAGTTCTCTGTTTACAACTGGATTCAAGTGAAAGAGAGAATGGAACAATATGATTCACTATGGCTGCTACATTGCCAATGCACTTTCCTATTTTTAACAAGACACACAAACAGTATCTTTATATAAAAAGCACAACTGCTTTAGTTGTTACAGGCTGTATTGTGCAATATCTGAAAGAGCATGTGTCCTAGTTGGCTACACTACGGCACCTTGCGGTTTTACACCTGAAACTGCCAAAGGTAGGAAGGAAGTCAAACAGGCTGTGCAGCCTAGGGTCTACAACCGCAGACTGAGGAAGTGTTGTTTTTATATCTTTCTTCCATCTTCGTGAAGCGGAAAGCATTTTTTTTTTGGTCACTGCTTCATCCGTTTTTATCTGAAAAGACACAATACAAACAAACCTGAGTGCTTGTCTCTGCATCTCTTTGCTTAGAAGTGCATAAAACCACTTGAGCAGATCTGAGATGGTAAACCCAGAATGCTATCACTTTCTCTAAGTGCTTTGAGATGTGTTATTGGTGCTACTGTAGGTAAGATAAGACTATCTGGGGCAAACACTTACAGTAAATCAGCATAGGAGGAAACAGTTCACTTCACTACATCAAGTGAC